TTTTTTTTTTTTTTTTTTTTTTTTTTTTTTTTTTAATTTTCTATTTCCTCTATTTTTATTTTAAAAAATTTCTCGAGCTAAGTGTTTGGCTAAAAAATATTTTATAAGGCATAAATTTCCCAATTCGATTTTTTTTCTAGATACACAATGTTCTTTTCCTTAATATCCTTTTTTTTTAATTTTTTTTATTTTATTTTTTTATAGACAATTTTTAGCTAAACTACTATTTCTTCTGCTCTTTGTCTTCTAGATATCATAGATAAATCAGATTATATTATGCAGTCTTTCAGTTGTTCAGTCTAACACTCATATGGGTAAAGCTTTCACAAAAATTTGATGTAAAGAGAGAATTTATAATGTTTGATCTTTGCTTTGCTTCGATCAAATCGTCGTGCATAATGCCCAAGGTCAAACAGCTGGATTAGGGTTTCAAGTTTGAAGATTGAGTCTAGTTTAGTTACAAGTTCAGAGAGATTAGTACGAACATCAACGTCGCTCAGCGTTATGGGCTCGATGCAAACTTGGGCATTGGCTATCTGTTGGGCGGTTACGGTCTGAGCAGCGTTCGATTGCTGTTGCTGCTGCTGCTGCTGCTGTTGTTGCTGCTGCTGCTGAGCAGCTGCGGCAGCTGCCTGTGCCGCCTGTGATGCACTTACAGCGGCTGCTGTTGTCTGCACAGCCGTCGCTGTGGCCGTACCGCTCGCCGTTGTCAATTGAATCGTTTGCGGCTGCGACTGGCTGACCGCCTGGATGTGCACTGTGGTCGTATTGTTGTTGCTGGTTGTGTGCAGATGCTGCTGCTGATGGTGCTGCTGCTGCTGTTGGTGGTGGTGTTGCTGCTGCTGTTGCTGATGATGATGTTGCTGCTGCTGCTGCTGCTGTGGCGCTGGCGCCTGGCATATCTCGATCTTAGTCGATGCCGGCAGTGTGGCCGTCGTGGTCACATGTTGATTGTTCGTGCTTTGGATGATCGTCGGAGCTGGCGTATTCGATTGGGCTGTGTGCGTTGTGATCACTGTGCCAGCGCTGTTGATCTTCACCACGTTCACCTGTTGTGGCTGCAGTTGCTGTTGTTGTTGTTGTTGTGGGTTAGTGTGTACGCATGGAGTGTGAATATGTGTGTGTGAGTGTGTGTGTGTTAGTAGGGAACGCGAGATGGGTGCGCATAAATGCAATGGAATACCGTATTATATTATTTGTACATTATATGATTCCCCTCATACCCCTCATCAACCCATCTCCCTCGCTCTCTCGCACTTTGTTTTGGTTGCGAGAGAGTCTGGAGAGATTTGTGGACTACTCACTTGGCTGGTGGTTTGATTGGTGGCCGGCGTCACCGTTTGCACCGTCTGTATGGTGGGCGTATTGGATAGCTGCTCCATGTCCTCGTCCTCGTCGCCAGACTGCGAGATCAGCGCATTCACCTTGTCCTCGTCGTCGGCGAATGTCGGCAGCAGATCTTCGCGTCCATGATATTTATAGCAATTGATCACAATCTTGCGCAGCGCATGGGTCCAGCTAATCTGTGGTCAGTTAGGGAAATTGGGGGGAGGGAGGGCGATTAATAAGACACGATTCAGCAATCTGGGGCGGCTGTTGAACACCCACCCCACCCACCTTCTGCTTGTCATCCTCGGAGCGGGCATCCATGCGCACATTCGCCCACGGCAACTCCTTGGGCCACCATGGCGGCCGTGTCGACTCTCGCCCCCAGCCCGGCTTGCCGCGCCCCGTCGAATACTTGAGCATGAGCGGTATGAACGCACGCAGCTGTGCCTGCGTCATCTTCTCAACGGGCGTCGGTATGCCATCGATGACCAGGCCGGGCAGCTCGAACAGCGACGGATCCTCTTGGGGCGGCGGCGGCGCCTGTTGGGCCAGTGCATTGTCCAGCTCATCCATCACAATGTTCTTCAGATTGCGCAGCACATCCTCCAGCGGCTTAGCCCCGAACACCTTGTAGCTGGTGTTCGGCTTGCCGGGTGTCGCCACCAGCACCACCGCCTGCTTGCCCACGCGCCCGGTGAATTCGTAGATGATGCCGCGCAGCTTGCGCAGCAGACGATTCTGTTGCCGCTTGCGCACCGAGGGATTCGTTTCGAAGCAGTGCGGACGCTTGCGTTTCTTTGAGCTGGCTATCGCAGCGGCCGCTGCCACGCCCACTGGCCCAGCAGCCGCCAACTGATGGGCGACATCGTCGTTGGCCAGCGTATTGAGATCGCCATCGTACAGACTGCCCTCGCTGCTAATCAAATCATCGTCCTCGTCATCTGTGGCCAGACTCTGCATGTCGTCGTCCAGCATCTCGATCTTGTAGGTGGTGCCATTGCTCTGGCCACCGGACGACGACTGCGCCTGCGAGCTATTGCTGGTGGTGGTGATTGTGGTCACGTTCAGGCCGCCGCCGCCGCCACCGCCGCCGCTGCCGGAGCTGTTGCTGCCGTTGCCCGTGGTGACAATTGTGTTGCCCGTGACGGTGGCGCCACCGCTGACGCTGCTGACGACCACATTCCCGCCGCTCCTTTGGCTGCCAGCCGGCGCCACAACCAGCCGATAGCTTGTGGTTGCCAGCTTGGTGGCTGTGGCACGTCTGCTCCTGCTGGTTGCTGGTGGTTGCTGACGGTGCTGGCGGTGCTGCTGCTGCTGCTACTGCTGCTGCTGCTGCTGCTCTTGCTTTCCACTACCAATTCGTTCGTCAACTCGGCTCCCAAGCTAGCACTCCCTAGTCGCATGCGCAATGTATTTTTATTTGTTAGTTTCCCTTTTTCGTTGTCTTCTGTAAAATGGGAGAAAATAAATGTTATTAGATTCATTTTATTTTGAATACTTTTTTATACCCTGAACCCATTGAAAATGGGAAATCAGGGTATAATGGTTTTG